GAATGTAAATGTCCATTTCTCTCCCAAGATTTACAAGATTTCAGGCATTATTTTGTTAAGTACCATTTCTAGACATTTCTTCATGTTTTTCCCCTCCCAAGTTACCATAATGCAAATATTTATACACTTCACGATGTCTTATAAATCCTATAGATTTAGCCTTTCTTCATTCTGTCTCATTCTTTTCCTTTCTGATTGGATTATTTCAAAAGACTTGTCTCCAAGATCAGAATTTAATTCTGCTTGACCTAACTACTACTGAAGTGCTCAGTTGATTTTCGTTTTGTTTCTTTCATCATTAAATTCTTTTGTTCAAGATTTCTGTTTCATCCTTTTTTATAATTGCCTAACCATTGGTTTTCTCATTCATACAATGAATTGTTTTAATTTTCTTTTTTCTATTTTTTTCTGGTTGTTTTTGTTTTTTGAATTTTGTTTAAAGACAGGGTCTCACTATGCAGTTCAGCCTAGCCTTAAACTCACTGTGTAGTCCAGGATGGCCTCAAACTTATGGCAGTCCCTCTGCCTCAGCCTCCTGAATGCTGGCATTATAGGTGTGTGCCACAACGCCTGGCTTAAATTTTCTGCCTGTATTCCCTTATATTAAGCTAAGTATTCTCATCATTATTTAGAATTCCTTTTCAGGAAATGTGTACGTTTTCAACTCTTTGGGGTCATGGAGTGGAGTATTATTTTGTTCCTTTGCTGGTGTTATGTTTACTTACTTTTTCAGGTGTGCATTGATATCTGCATGTCTATCAGAACAGTCACTCTTCCTATTTTATAGGGTGGTTTTTATTCTGAAAGAGTTACAGCTGTAGATGTATTCCTGGGCATCAGATATATAGGATGCATTAGCTTTGGTCCTCATTGGATACATAGTGTAGAATGTGTGCAGTTTCTTCAACTGAAATCAGTTGCAGGGACACCCACAAGTGCTTTCATGACCTTGGTTGCATGTCCAGGATTTACAGACTTCTGTGGGTACGGGTCAGGTCTGATAGATTCAGACATGGTTGTCTAACAGTGCTCAGACTGACAGGCTGGAACACACTTGCTGGAGTCAAGATTATTTCACAAAGCTTTGAATACAGGGCCAAGTGCTGTAGCTACTGATAGGAGAAAAATGAAACACTACCCAGTCAGTTTGTGCTCAGGAGAAGGGGCCCTGTAGCAGCTGCACTTGAGAATGGTATATTATCATTTGTGAGTGAGTGGTAATGATGGTGAAACCTCAGGAATGGAGCCATTCCAAGGTTTAGGGTGCAAATATGTATAATGTGTCTGCATCCTATATAACTAATGCTTTAAAAAAAAGTTTAGGGACGCTCTAAGGAAACACCCCACCCGATCACTGCCAGGGAGTTGGGCAGGTATCCCCTCCTAGCATCCTGGAAGCAAACTATACTTTCAGAGAGATTTAGAAGAAAATTAGCCTTCAGCTCCAACTGGAAGAGGCCTGTAGAGCTGAGCAACAGGAGTTCAGGACAATCAGCAGGATTAGGCAGGGGTCTGAGCAAGAGAATGCTATTATCTCCTCCATCATATATCTCTTCTTTTCATAACTCCAACCGGTGTATTCCAGGTACAGGTGGACAGCATGAGCCAACTGAGAGAGATGGCCTGTACAGCCTTCACAGAGGTAGGGATCCTAACTGTATGACTTCATTTCCTCCAGGTAAGCCAATAAGCTTACATCTAATACCATTACTACCACACACACACTTGCACACAAAAGCTCTCCAGGGAGGAACAGTAGGTCCTAACGAGGAACCATTTTCAGGTGTCAGTGCTGTGCTGCAGGCACTAGCCACTTCCTCAGACTTTTGCCTAGCTGAACCCCTCCTTCACACTCAGATGTCCCAGTAACCCAATGTCATACTGCTTCCGGATGTGGACTCAGAAATCAGCCACCATCATAAATGGGCTCTGACTTTATGAAGGTAGCTGGACAGACAAAGCAGGGCCTGGTTGTTCTGCAGCATTGGCCCATTCAACCTTGCTTTCCTGAGCCACCAACAGAGGAGAGGTAGAGCACATCGTTCATTCCCAACAGGCTGAAAAGTAAGACTCAATTTAGTGTAGGGTTTTACAAAGTGATTGGGTCATGGGGCATTGTACCTATTACTGGATTAATCCCTAGATGAATTCAGAGCTAAGTGTGCTGTGGAAGATGGAATCTTGTTCAGGAGCCAGGTCACTGTGTTTAAACCTGCCAAAAATGGACTGGAATTTTTGAAACTGAGCCAAAATAAACCTCTCCTGCATTATATTGTGAGTGTGAGGTAATGTGTCTCAGAATGAGAAAGTGGCTAAGACAAGGTCAAATACTGCAATTGGAAAAACATTGTCCTAGAAATATTGGCCAGCAAGAGGGAGGGCAGAGAAGCCATTGAGTCCTTAGGATGATAGGAACAAGAGACTGCTGCTGCAGAAGGGCCTAGAAGCAATCATACTCTTGTGTCAGCCCCTATGTCATCAGGGTACAGATCAGGAAAACACGAAAGACACTTGGGCAGAGAATTTGGTGATCAGGTGGACAGGCTGGGAAGCCAGTCTTCCAGGGTCCAGAAGAGGGAGGATGTGACTCTGGTGATCACACAGCTGACCTCTCATGCAATCTTTCTCCAGGGCCAAGCAGCCTGAACCTAACCCTGGTGTAGTAATTCTTTGAAAATTGCTGGGCTAAAGCCAGGAAGAAAATAAACTGAATTTATGTTTTTAAAAGTATGAGTTGACTGAAAAGGGTATGCAGATAGCTCCCACCAATCTCTGCCAATTTACAGTAGCTTGACTGAGACCCTTAAATACATTAAGTAGCCGCCACCCTTGCACTGGCCACAAGTTGAATACATTCATTAAGCACCTAAATTTTTCCATGGCCATGGACAGCAATGATGGAGATCAGCAAGACACAGCTCCTTTCCCTCTGTTCACCCACTCTCCACAGCTTGCCCAACAGCCTCATGCACACTGAGTAGGCAAATTTTCAGTAAGAGAGATGATATGTTTTAGGGGAGCCTTAAAATATGATAGCAGGGAGATTCACCATAAGGAAAGATGACATTTTCACTCCACATCTCCCTGGAATTTTATCAAAAGGCATTTCAGTTAATGCCTCCCAAATAGGCAAAGTCTCCAAATAAATGGGTATCCTCTATCATGTTCTGTTTTGTTTGGCTTTTAGCAATTCATTTATCATTATTATGGTCAATTAGTGTATGTGTTTACTACATACCCTAGGCACAGTTCTACATGGAAAAAATAATAGTTTAGGTACATTATTTTGCACATAAGTACCTAGATTATATAAGTACTATACATACACATCCCTATAGTAGCAATTGTACTTATACACATGTATCTATATTAGCAATTGGCTCATGTGATTGCAAAGATGGAGAAATTCCATGATGTGCCATCTGTAAGCTAGTGCAGCAAAAAAAGCCTGTGATGTATTCTAACTGGAATACAAAGGCTCCTAGAATGAAGATGGGAATTCAGGGTGGTGGTGGAAGTCCCAAATTAAACCTCCAGGCCATAAAACCAGGTGTACAGATATACCAGGAGAAGATAGATGCCTCAGCCAAAGAGAGACCAAGTTCATACACCCCTTCTCTACTTTTGGTTCTGTAAGGGCTCTGGATGATTGGTAAGATGGTGTCCACACTGGTGATAGCTATCCTTTTTACTAATTCAGATGCTAAGCTCATCTGGAAAAACTTCAGTGAAGAAAGATCCACAAGTGAATTAGTGGAACCAACCTCTGCGTCAGAAATGCTCAATTCCAGAAAGGAATGGTTTATATTTTTCTAGCTGGTGGTGACACTGAGCAATTTCACCTGCTTATTAGCATTTGTATATCTTGTACAGAGAAAAGTCTGTTCACATTGTTCGCCCATTTTTTTTTTTTACACTTTTTTTTTCTTTTTTCTTTTTATCGGTACCGGGGATCAAACTCACGACCGCCTGCTTGCAAGGCAGGCGCTTATGCCGCTGAGCTAAATCCCCAGCCCTGTTTGCCCATTTTTGAATCAGTTATTTGGTTTATAAATAAATCTCTGTTGGAGCACAGCCCCAATATTGTACTAGATGTGGTCTGTCACAATCCATAGAGGAATTAGGAGGTACCATGAAGTATTGGCCCTCTGTGGAAAATATTTCTGACCTCTGCTATAAATCTGAATCTGTTTTACTCTGGTGTAATATTTGTATCTATTTACTTAACTTTTATCACGGTTTCATGTTAACTTGTATTTTTCCTATATATTTTCATCATGTCTGTCTTTAAGTTAAAATTTAACAACTATAGACTTAAATAATTTTTATCTTACCAGATTCATAAACTTTTAGCTTAAGTGGCATTCTGTTTTATATTTTTAGTAATCATTTATTTTCTAGTGACCTTGAGCCTACATCTATTGCTCTCTTATTTCATAACTACAGGAGTTGATCCTGTGGACAGATGCTTGTCAGGACTCTCCTCAGATCTGCTTCCTGTGACTTAGTCTGACCAAGGCCAGAATCCATGGTACAACTGCTGTTTCAGAAAGCTGCTCATCGGGTGCTTCTCCAATTAGTCCTCTTACTTTATGATTTATCTCATGTAAAATGCTTCAGCCCCAAACTGCATACATTACTGCACAGCAGCCCAGCAAGCTAGGCCTGCACAACTGAGGTCACTTTGCTCCAAGGGCAGCTGGAGCCTCCTAATGCTTATGTAAGAGAGAGCTAGTGACTCAGACTCCACTATCTGACCAAGTAAAATCTTTAACACCTTATTCTGTACCTTTTGGACTATGTAATAGCTATGCCAGGAGCTCTAAGTTCCAATACCAGTTGTTTAGGCCCACCAAAGCTTTCCTAAGCTTGAAACTTTTCAAGTTTCCAAATTATCTGAACATTACTTATGTCAGGCAATGTCATACATGTCAGAAAATATTCAACATGGTTTCAATCTTTTCCTCAAAACACTTTGAATTCAACACATACACCGATTGTTATATAGTGGGAGATGTTAATGGAAAAAAATCCTGAGAATACAAATGAGGAATAACAGATTAAGGAGATTAGGGCTTGGGTAGTCACTATATGGAGAACTTGTTCTGCACACCAGGTGGTTCTGATCTTTCAGGCACTGCTGCGAAGCTCAGGGTCAGCGGGGCTCCTCAAACCAGAGTAAGGACAGTATGGCTGGATTTAAGGAAGGGAAAGGGGGCAAGGGAGCTTTGCAGAAGTACAGTAGGGAATAGCCTTGTCTATGGAGGGACTCAAGACAGAAAAGGAGTCCATAAGCCCTTTAGAATAGAAGGGACTAGAAAGGAGAAAAACATACTGAGAAGACTGAACAGGGATTGAGGGAACCAGCTGTGTCTGGGGCCCTTGGCCAGCAGGTGTGGCGATATTCGCCTTCCGTGTGGAGTTATTACATGGTCCTACTTGTTGCCCCACTTGGCTACTTTTAGATACATCGGACCTGGAAGGAAGCGGCTGGACTTCATGTAGGCAGAGATCTTCTTCAGGCCCTGAAGTGGGAGAGAGAAAGCAAGAGCTCAGGTCTGAAGCCCCACTGAGTTCAAGCAACACCATACCAGGGACATCCACTAAAGATTAAAATATGAATATAGAAAATTCAACCAAATACCTCACAGGATACTTCCTGCCACCACTGTATGTCAGAGGAAAACTGAGGAACACATCTTCCTCATTCTCCCAGGGCGATTACGAGACAAAAAGCTGGATGAAGCTAGCAGGGTTCTGAATCTACAGTTCTGTGCTGTTTGCTATTCTCTCCGCTTACCCACCCAAGAGGCTCTGTTGTTTCCCATCTGCTGAAACTTTTTTGTTTTTCACATCAAGGTTAGGACTTGCCTATAATAACACAGAGAAATGATCCAGCAAAACAAAGGGGCTGAGAATGCCTATGTGGTTTGGAGAAGTGCCCAAGTGACCCAGTGACTCAGCAGATCTTCCATGTAAGTGGAGAAGGGGAAGAGAACCCGCAAATAAAGCACTATTTATCTAAATTAAAAGGCTGAAACTGCTGTACTTGATGCTGATCCAAACTATACTAGGCTCCAAAAATACATCCTCTTTGGCTCAGGTACAGCAGAATACACTGAATAACATTCAGACGTGCTGTGTGGCATCTTACTAGGAAAGGTAGCCCGGCTAACGCTTGAAGTATTCAGAGAGCCTGGGTTTCAAGGCTCAGCTGGCTTCAGGCTCCAGCACTCTGCTTTCCCCCACCCTTCTCACAGTCCTGCCAGCTCTTGCACAATCTTCAAGGCCACACTGCCTGGATCAGAACCAGAGCTAATGAAAACTAGCTGAGATAACATATCACTTCATGTGGGGTGGGAAAGGAAAGTAGATTTCAGGCTGAAAAGCCAGTTAGGCTAATGCCTCAAAATTCCCAAACCTAATAAAATAGGCTTCACGCGACTCAAACAGGTGAAGTTGGGTTGTAATTAGCTATGAAGCGATGTCTCAGTTGTGTTCTCCAGCACGCAGGAGATGGCACACATACCCCACAATCTGGTATGCCCACTGTCTTCAGCTACACTGAGCCCCAGGATGGACAAGGGACCTCTGCATCTCCCTCTGAGACTGACTCAGCCTCATACTGAAGAGATGAAAAATGTCAGTGAATAGGAGTAAACACTCATGTGCTTCCCATTTCACAAATGAAAAATTGGGGTATTACAAGAAAGCAGAAGGAAAGGGGGAAAAAGAATGTCCCCAACCGCAGAACGGGTCAAGATAAAATCCTCCAACTGGGCACCCAGATGTGTACTCAGTGTAGTACAAACTACAACCACAGGCCCTCAGTACCCTCCTAATGCCAGCTGCCCACACTCTTTACCTGCCCTCTCTCCTAAGGTTGCTGGCTGGAAACCCCAGCTGCACAAAGGCCTAAAACTACCTTTGAGTACAAAATAGAGAGAACCACTTCTTGTTGCCCTCAGAAGCCAGAGTTGACAGGAAGCCCAGCGCAATCGCCACTGGCACTGGGATGTTCAGCAGATGACTCTTTCTCTCCAATCCTTGTGCAGTGGGGCTTGTAATTCTATTAACCTTCTAGCACTGTTGTTATGATAAATTTGACACACAAAAAATGAAAGATGTAAACACACTTCCTGGCATATAAAGTTAGTGCTCAGTCAATACCTATTATTCTTTATGTCGGTTCCAACATCAAAAAGCATAAGGAAAGAGCATGGAAAAAGGATACACAAGAATGAGATCAGAGGCATCACCTCAAAGCGTGATATAAATTCCTTCAGGTTAGGGAATGCCTCCAGGCACTTGGGTTCAAATATACGGTGCTGGTCGAGGACGTCATAAGCCAGGAAATCCACGAAGGTGATCTGTAGAGAGCTGATGATGAGTGGGCTGGAAGCTCATAACTTGGAAGAATGACAAATTCTCCTCCCCATTTCCCTCCCTTTACCTTGTTTCCTGCAAACCAAGGCTGCTCCCCCAGGAACTGTGAGAAGAGCTTCATCTTGTCAGGGAGGCCCTCCAAGAACTCTGGCTTCTTTTTCTCCTGGTACAAACATCAGGTGTCACCACCATCAGACACAAGTTTCCCCACAAAGGAACTTGCATGGCCCCAGCTGTCCAGAGCTGAGCAACCATCTTCCCTAAGATTGAGACTGAGTCAGGGTACAGGGTTCAGTTGAATTCTTCAGCATTTAGTAGATTCCAACAGATACAAGACTCTCCCTTTTAGAAATGATGGAAAGACAAAGAGGAATGTAGCTCTATATCTAAGTCTATCACTATTAATGTCCAAATCAGATCTTGTAGGTCAGACCCAGGATTACCATGAGGACATGGTAGGCTCTGGACTCAAACGTCTGGTGGATTCAGAGAGGCAAAATACGAAAGGAACTCAAGAGAGAAGAAACCTAGTGGATGGCTGAAGAATGGAATGGATATTGAGTAATGTGGACTAAGTTAGATGTTTTTGGTGTTGAAAGGAAGAGGACCTCTGGCTGACCCTAAGGTACCTACTAGGAAAAGGTCCTGATTAATGCTGGTATCAAGGACACAACACTGGAGAAAGTATTGTGCAGATATCTGAAGAACAGGGTGCACTGCATTCCCACATATTGGCTTTTTCTGTCTCAAGGTTTGAATCACTGAATTAAGGAGCAAGCAGATGGTATGAATATCTCAAAGAAAGGGCCAATAGCAGATATCAGAGTCAAAGGCAGAGAGAATCTTGGAAACATGAATTTATTATTGAAACAAATCATCTAAAGGAGGAGTCTGGACTGTACCCTAGGATTTGTGGAGATTAATTCACAATGATTATTTGACATGATTTTGGGGTTTTTTAAGTGTAGGGTAGAAAATCTAGAATCAGTAACACCAGAGTTCAGATGCTGAAGAGAATGGGTATGGATATGAATACAAAAGTTAAACTCCTATTCCAAAGCATATCTGGTCCAGGGCCAATGGGTAACTCACAAAATCAGGGCTGTAGCAGACCATGCCAAGTTGTATACGAAAGTCCATAACCTGGTTCTCCAAAATGTCCATGCGAATCCTTTCTTCTTCTGTCTCCCCACCTGAAGCCCACAAAACAGAGACTCACCCTCAGAAACCCACCCCAGCAAAGCTTAGGGAGATGACCACTGTCCATCCCCATACCTAAAGCCAGGTCTACTCACACAGGTTGTGCTTGCGGGCAATGTAGCGCAGGATGGCATTGCTCTGGGTGAGCTTGTGAGTTCCATCAATTAGGTAGGGCAGCTGCATGGACAGCCAGGAAAAGTCAATTGGGATTCTAGGTCCCAACATCCCTTCCCTGAGCTAGTGCAGACATGAGACCTGGCCCTCAATGTGCTTGTCAGAACAAGTTTCCACAAATATACTGCACAAAAAGGGAATTAGGTAGGTAATAAGACAGGGTACACAACCAGGAGTGAGAATAGTTGCCAGGAGTTCTGATCCTAGACATTCTATGGTCAGATGAGGTATGGAAGACTTTACTTTTCCCACACCACCCCCCAACCCCTTACCTACATTGGGAAAGTCCAGGCCCAGCTTGAATTTCTCATTCAGCCACTGGCTTGTGTCAAAGTCTGGAGCTGTGGTAAAATAAAAACAAACCCCTCTTGAGTCCATTCTTGCTTCCCAAAGTCAGGGACAAGAACCTTAAGACAGGACAACTACAATGTGAACCACTAAGCCCCACATTCCAAGGATGCAAGGTAAAATGTGCTTATAAGGGCTATGGACCCAATAGGACTACGGCTTACAAAAGTTTTAGGCAACTTTTAAAAGGAATTGGACCCATCTGCAGACAAAGTGAAACCTGGCACTCGATTCCCACATACATTCCTTGGGTAAACTACACGGTCTAGGCCATCTGCAACAAGTGGCCAGAACAGGGGTAGCTGAGCATCAGTCAGCAAGATTGGGCAGGGGTCTGAACAGAAGGGTGCTATTACCGTCCCCCATGGTGTATCTCTTCTCCTCATAGCTGGTGTCTGTGTATTCCAGGAGCAGGCGGATGGCATGGGTTAGCTGGAAGAGACAGCCAGTGGCAGAAGTCAGGAATGCAGGGCCATAACTCTGCCTGTGTGATTTCATCTCCTCCAAGTGAGCCCCCACCAGCCTAGTAATACACAGTTATACGCACTTTTCAATGCACACATACACAAATACCAAAGTAGAGGCCTCCTGTGTGGGATAAGCAAAAGTTTCCAGCATCTCCTGAAGAGGATCCATGTCTTAGAACTGTCTGCCGGAAGCACCCAATCCTCCTCCCACCCATCAGGAAGACCCCTAGCTCACCCCGCGGATGTCCCAGTAACCCAATGTCATCGGCATGGTGCTGGTGCTGTTGATCCACGGACAGATCTGTGCCAGGCAGACCTACTTCAGACAGCAGGCAGAGTACAGAGGGGCAGGGCCGGATTGCTGAGTCCATTTATGAGAGCTCCGCCCCGCCCACCCCGAACTCCTGCCAATCCTGTAGGCCCAAGCGCCAGTGAGCCAGAATTTTTTTAAGGACAGACTTCAGTACGATCTAAAGCAGGCTCAGACCAGAGGTCCCTGGAGTCAGGGCTACGTGCTCACAATCCAAAGGCAGGGCTGAGCTGTTGGGCCTCTCAGCCCCGCTGCCCACCCCACCCCTCGCTGTCCGTCGCCCCCTCCCCTTTCCCCCTCCCCTGTCCCTCTCCCCGCCCCCATCCTGCTGGGTAAGCTGGGAGCTGCCCTTGCACTTGGAGACCGGCCCAGACAGTGAAAGAACAAAGCTCTTCAACTTCCTTTTCTTCCTTGCATCTCTCACGTTTCACCTCTTAGCTGACGAAGGCCTGCAGATTCTGGGAGGCCAGGGTCAAACTAGAAAGAGGGACCCCGCAATCTGAGAGTTTTAATTTCGTGCCTATTACTGGAAAAAGAGGATACTTTAATGTGATAACTATGATCTATGGCAGCCTCATGTCTACAGAAACAAAGTGTCAGTGAAAAGGGAACTCCTGGGACTCCCACCACCACAAGGAGCATACGTGTTCTCCATGTTTTCCTTAAGGAATTTAGGAGACTGAGCGGTTCAGGTAGCTAAATAATGACTAGGCAGATTAGCCAGATTATCCAGTTAGTCTTTTGTTCTTTTTTGTGTGTGAATCTGTAACTGAGACTTAAATGTTGTGTGATAACTCGGACCAAGAAAGCAAGAAATTAAAATTTGGGAAGCAAAGGCTTTATTAGGTAAAATCCAGGCCTGGTGACGAGTCTCCGGGAGCCAATTTGGAGACTGCGCACCTCACAGCTAAAAGTCAGTACTTTTTATCTTGGTCCACAAACAGCTGCTGGTCACACAATGTAAGGAGGGGGATGGGGGTGTGACGCACTACAAAGCAGAAATGGCAATTGCAAGTCTCCCTGCATACTAGCAAGTTTAGATAAGAAGAAATCTTGTTTTTCTTAGCAAACAATACAGAAGTCTAACAGCAGTTAACAACCTTAGTTACCATACTTTAGCACTACAACTGTTATTTGTAGAGGGCAACAATGGTTAACATATCAATTAGGTAAGATTTTACAATTCTTTACAGAGGAGAGCATTGATTAACATATCAATCCTTTGCCCAGAGGGAAAGGAAAACACACATTTACAGTAAGGCCAAGTTACAGGTATTACTATGATACAAACGAAGCTATTTTTGTGAAGAATGTACAATCTAATACAATCTAATGCAATTAACACAATGTGTGACGGGATACCGGGTCTTTTTGGGTAGGGAAGACCCGGGTTGTCAGGAGCTATTACCTCAGGCCTTTGTTTTATGGCCTTTAGGAAGTTAAAACTTAACCTAGTTAGATTTGAAGGGAGAAGGGGAGGGGAAGCAGCAGGTGGGCTTATACCTTAGAACAGAACTTAGGATAGCTAGGGGGGCTTAGGTTATAACAGGTTGGACTTGCAGTGGGTAACTGAAAGCCACATAAGGCTTGGCATCTCTGCCTTCATTTTACATCTGGCTTTGTTACTATTTTTAAAATTTTTGTGTCAGTTTCTTGCTCAATCCTCCCTAGAGTCAGGTTAATTACTTAAGGGGTATTTGTCTGAAAACTGTTAATATAGAGTTTATTAGCCTTAAGTTTACCTAACCTATTTTGCCCCTCCTTCATGACTGAGGATACCAAGATAAGAGAGATTTATAGTGTCTTTGGAGGAACATTCAGTTTCCAGGTTTTTGGAGATGCCTTGGGGCAGCACTAAGAAGTCTCCAGTCATTACTGTAATCTCCCAGTCACCCTGGATTCCAGCAAAAGCAGACCTCCCAGACCAAACACTCCATGATAAGATCACTGTTCACCATGAGCAAGCAGTGATTCCACCACTGAATGGAGGCTGACCTGCCAACCCTGACCTAAAGAGGAACAGCCATCTCATGGGAACCAGATTGTCCCCTTGGGTCATAGGGAATTGATCTAAACTACCTGCAGAACCAGTCCTGAAGTAATGATCAACCAGACCACCTGCTTGGCCAGGATGACTACTCTGCTAGCTATGCAAACCCCCAGCCCTGCAAATTTCAGCTCTTGCCTTTGTTCTCCTTTTCTATAACACTTCAAAGTTTCTGTCAGTCTTTACAAAGGCAGAACTTGAATCCCTCTGCATGTCCTTCCCTGTGGCAAAGCCATATTGACTAAAGTTCTTTACTGTCCTCCATCATGGCTCTTCTTTTTGATTGAGTGTTTTGGGACCAGTGTTGGAATGTGCAAACCAGGGGTTTTCTCCTAGAACTCTAGTAACAAATCCAAATCCAACAACCAAACACAGTGGGGATGGAGTATCTGCATTGTTCCCACCACAGTGTGCTGCTACCGCAGCAAGAGAATCCTGCTGACCAGCCCAGGGACTGTGAGTACAGTGAGCATAGCTAGAGTGTGAGGTCAGGTGGAAGATTAGAGGTTCAAAGGGCCAAACACATCTCCTGCTTCTAAAGCAAGGTAGGAGGTGTCCAGAGTAGATCTTAGAGGATTCTAACTGTGATAACTCAGACCCCGGTATAAAATCCAAGAAAGCAAGAAGTTAAAATTTGGGAAGCAAAGGCTTTATTAGGTAAAATCCAGGCCTGGTGACGAGTCTCCGGGAGCCAATTTGGAGACTGCGCACCTCACAGCTAAAGTCAGGACTTTTTATCTTGTAAATCCACAAACAGCTGCTGGTCACACAATGTAAGGAGGGGGATGGGGTTGTGACGCACTACAAAGCAGAAATGGCAATTGCAAGTCTCCCTGAATACCAGCAAGTTTAGATAAGAAGAAATCTTGTTTTTCTTAGCAAAGAATAGAGAGGTCTAACAGCAATTAACAACCTTAGTTACCTTACTTTAGCACCACAACTGTTCTATTTGTAGAGGGCAACAATGGTTAACATATCAATTAGGTAAGATTTTACAATTCTTTACAGAGGAGAGCATTGATTAACATATCAATCCTTTGCCCAGAGGGAAAGGAAAACACACATTTACAGTAAGGCCAAGTTACAGGTATTACTGTGATACAAACGAAGCTATTTTTGTGAAGAATGTACAATCTAATACAATCTAATGCAATTAACACAACTTGTGACGGGCTACCGGGTCTTTTTGGGTAGGGAAGACCCGGGTTGTCAGGAGCTATTACCTCAGGCCTTTGTTTTATGGCCTTTAGGAAGTTAAAACTTAACCTAGTTAGATTTGAAGGGAGAAGGGGAGGGGAAGCAGCAGGTGGGCTTATACCTTAGAACAGACCTTAGGATAGTTAGGGGGGCTTAGGTTATAACATTCCCCTCTGATGTTGTGACTGAGGTCAAATCTTTGACCTAAAGATCTCAGGGGACAAGTTTATACACTTGTTTAACCATCATTAATTTTATGTTCTGCATCTAACGCCTGATATATGCAGTTAGCCCATTTACTATTTAGGGACCTAAAGTACTAACAGTAAAATCATAACAAGAGGACTGGCTACAGTCATTATTATGTTTGTCATCCATGATGGGAAGGAGAACATTTGTTCTGCCCATCCCAGAGTCTTTTTGGAGTTCGGCTAAATTTTGTTTTACCACCCCAGACTTATTAGCATACAGGCAGCATTGCTCTCTTAAAGCCAAGCACAGTCCTTTTTCGGCTAACAGGAGGTCTAGCCCTCTGTTATTTTGGAGAGCTACTTTAGCTAAGGAGTCAATTAATAGCAGCATCATTCCTGCAATGCCACACAGATCTCTACTTGTTCTGCTGTTAGGAGATCTAGTCCCCTTCTGTTTTGGAGAAACTACTTTAGCCAAGTCTATTTGGTCTTGAATGACCTGAATGGTACTAGATAATGCCTAACAATCTGGTTGGAAGGTTGGACAGAAACCCCTACTCCTGTTGCCCCCATACCTAAGGCTCCTGATATCTCTAGGCCTACCAATAGGGAATAAATTGAATTGCCCTCTTTGAGTGGCCTGTGATGTAATCTAAACTAGGAATGGGGACAGGCTCATCCCCAGGTAGGACCTCTATATCAGGCAACAGGACAGCTGTTACACATATCCCTGTCCAGTTAGTTGGGAAGAAAGTATAGGCCATATTTCCTCCACAAATAAATACTTGTCCTTCGGCGGGATAAAGTAGGTAGTCTGGTTAACTATGGAACTACAATTAGTAAATGTAACTAACTCCACGTCAATGTTGGAGGTATCGTTATAAAAACCTCCTTGGAGACAGAGAGAGTCCTTGAAGCCTACTGGTTGTACTCTAAAGGGGGGACCAGCCCTACAATTTAAGTAATCTTGTTTCTCCAGTGTAGCCAGAGAAACACTGCGGGGGGGGTGGGGATGGCAAGGGGCATGAGGGAGCCCTGTGCCATGCATAACCAGGGATTCTTCAGCCAAAGTTGGGTTGGAAGCATTTAAGGCTTTATGAGTGGCCTCTAGAATATCAGAAGTTTGAGCATCCAGACCAACTCCCTACAATTTAGGCACCTTATTTTTATTTGCAGCTTGACTCATTCCTCAACCATCAGAGTTTTCTGATCTTATCTTGTGGGCCGCTCCTATCAGACACATGTATAGGGGCCACCCTGCTCCAGCACACTGATTTATCAACCATGCTGAGACATGAGGCTTGGGCATACTTTGAACTTCCTATCACTGTCAGATTTGTCAACCAATCACCTTTAACTCTTTTAGCCCTTGTCCTCATAAGCTCAACAATGAAGTTTTGCTATCTATGCCTATACATTCTTGTACAGAGTCATAGCAGGAGGAATGCATCTCTGAATACTAAGAACAATTCTGAGGGCATGGCCCTCGCTGGCTGCCTTTGTTAGGTATCACATGGGGCTTTATCATTTACATCCACCTTTTAGTCAAACCCCCTGTAACTGAGGGTATAGCAACAAGGAATATTAACTTGTC